AATGTGTTTTTTTGAACATTAAAGCATGTCAACATATTCTGTTACACCAAATACACAAAATAATGATCTTTAAAAAAGCATCATATGACCCCTTTAACATTAGATGAAACCATATTAGATGATTCATTAAAAATGATTGCATTACTATTCATTTTTCTCATGTTAACACATAAGACGCAGAGACTAAGAGAGAGAGAGAGAGAGAGAGAGATCATGAAAGGAGGAGAGGAAGGAGATCGGGAGCTATAGAGAGTTTCTGTGGCAATGAATTGCAGAATCTTCCAAGAAACTTGTCTGTTCTGCCTCAGTGTCTTTAAAGTCTTTGATGAATACTTGTTTCATCCAGTTTGGCTCAGGAGCCCAACAATGCAGAATTCTGTCTTTAATATGTAAAATATGCCCCATGCTCTCTTCTCTGGGTGCCATTATGCAAATTAAGATGTCATATTATAAAGAAAGAGATGCACTTCCATAACAAGACAGCTGCTCACCTTTTCAATAACTCCATGTACTCTGCATGTTTGATGAGTCCTGTCCTCATCATGATGGTCTGGAAACACTGTCTGTCGATGGCCCATAACTTCACACTGGTGACAGCTGAAACACATCAGAAAACACGCCATCAGTTTGTGCATGCAGTTTCCTAATCATCAACACCCAAAGATTTTCTTGCCATATGAGCTGATCATGAAATGTTGATATTTTTATCAAATAATTGTGATGAACAATGTACAGAGCACAGCATAAATGAGTACACTCCCTCTGAACCTTAACAAATTCATCAATTACTCTTTGCTTAGAAGACATGTTGTGGTTTTTTAGAAATATAATATTCCAGCAAGTCTGCTTGATCAGTTACCAAAGAAGAATGTTAAAATTATTCAAGAAAATACAATTTTCTTATCAAAGTGATAAAATGTTGTGTTGCAAAAATGAGTACACCCTCCTGAAGGTTACTAAATAAAAAAAATAAAAAAAAATTCTGGTGTAAGGTTAAGGCAAGTATTGATCAACAGGTAAGTATGTTGAACCAAAACTGTTAAAGGTAAGTAATTTATTGATAATTAAGTGTTATATGGCCCACTGAATCATACTCAGACTTAATGCTGACAACAATGAATCCACTTGAGAGAGAAATGTCAGGAGATTTATTTCTTAGCATAAAAGAGGACAATGGTACAAGAATACCAAATTATTGTTACCATTGTAAGTGTGAAAATATAGCCAAAGTAACACAGAAATTAAAAAACAATGGACTTGTGAAAAGCCCCCTGAAATAATCAGGTCTTCACTTTAAGCTTTCATTTAGTGATGAGTGAGTTTTTGCTAGAAAAAGAGCAGGAGAAACACTGTGAAAGTGTCTCAGAGCCGGCAAAAGCTGTGAAAAGAGTGACACTTTATCTCACAACTCATTTAAAGGCCCATATTTACAAAATATAGACTTCTGGGAATCCATACTCTGGTCTCATGAGACCAATGAGACCAATTCGGATCTAACAGCATCCAAAATGTTCTGGTGTTGCTAGAGGAGGAGTACAGAGAGAAGTGCCTGGTTCCCACAGTGGCATTCAGTGGTAGTAAAGCTCTTCTATATATATATAAATACATCTTTTATATTTAATCAGAGGGGGTGTACTCATTTATGCTGTGCACTGTATATATTTATTCCTATTATGTGTTTTCTCTTGGACATGCCTGTTGGGTGTATGATCTGCATTTTGTGTGTGTGTTCATATGCACATAACCGCACTTACTTTCTTCCTGAAATATTTTTGGCACAAATTCCAAATTTCTTTGTTCGATCTGTAAATATATACATAAAAA